ATGTCTACTCGAGCCGAAGTTAGCAGAGCCTTCTGCCGAACTTCAGGAAGTTCTCTCTCTGGCAAACAAGATCTAGGCCAATTATCCTTCTCCATTTGTAGAAATGCCGGTCCCTTTATCCACAGTCGTCTGCAAGAGTTCCTGAGGTGAGGCTCCCTTGGAAATTATGTCAGCCGGATTCAACGCGGTCTGGACATATTTCCATTCCATTCCCTGCGTCAGCTGCTGTATGGCAGCGACCCTGTTGGCAATAAACACGTTGAATTTCGAAGACTTTTCCTTCGGCGCCACAGAGGAGACTGACCAACAACAGAATTTGCAATTGAGCGCTTCTATCCTCAAGACCTCGCTAACCAAGTGCGCAAGAAGCGCAGCACCACAGAGCTCTAACTTGTGAATGCTGATCGTGTTCAGAGGTGCCAGCCGAGATTTCGAACAAAGTAGATGTGTCTGAACTTTAAGTGAGGTAACCGATCGCGTATAAATGCACGTTCCAAACGCAGCGAGACTGGCATCACAAAATGCATGCACTTCGAACCTGGCTCCAACTTGCAGAAACTTGCAACGAGGAAACTCAGCACGGTCAACTTGGCAAAATCCTGGCAGAATTGGGTCCACTCACTCACCAACGCCTGCGGCAAGCTCTCGTCCAAGTCCAAATTGCTTCTCCACATCTTCTAAAGAATTATCTTCGCCCTTGTCAATGTTGGTCCGATTAAACCGAGGGGATGGTCCGCTTTGTGTGTCGGCCAAGAGTGATGTTGGGTGCAAAAGTGAATAAGAACTTGTCCCTGCGTGGATCCCATATGAGCCCAAGAGTCTTCGTAATGTCGATCCTGTCGTCAAACTTTAGAAGGGTTTCCTTGTCGGCCTCTGGGACATCCTTAAGCACATCTACAGAGCTCGAGCACCACTTTCTCAAACGAAAATTACTACGACCAAGGAGTTGTGTGGTTTGAAGCATGACCTTCCGCACTTCTTCAATGGCATCGCCTCCTGAAATCATGTCATCAACATAGAAGTCCCGCAAAAAAGACTTTCGAGCCCAATGGATACGACGAAGACTCATCCATGGCGAGTTGTTTCATTGCACGAATGGCCAAAAATTAAGCAGCCTTGGTGCCATACCGTGTCCAGCTTAAATCTTGGATGTCATCTTTGGGTGAGTCACGCCTCCCGAGAACACCCATCCAAGGAGTGTTTTTTGCAGCAATGGCAATCCCGAAACTAAATGGATTTGGCCAGCGCACAGCAATTCAAAAAATAAATCTGCACCGTTGAGCAAATCAATTCGCTGTGATACGAAAAACGATGGATCAGAAAGCTGTATATTCGACGGTACGCTCCAAGATTCAATGTTGAACGAATGATTAGGCTGCTGGTCTGTTATACGCGGAGCTACAACGGCCCTCATGGTTGTTGCGACTCCGAGATTTTAGGACGAGATCGACTGAGTACCCTTCTGTGGAAAAGCTGACGTCCCAATGCCTGAAACTGCAACCAACGATTTAGTTTTGCGAAGTTTTAACTGCTCCACAAACCGAGAAGTGACGAAATGAACTTGGTAACCAGAATCCAAGAGAGTTCGACATGGTACAAACCTGCCAGCCAGATCCTTGATGAGCACAACAGCTGTTGCTAGAAGCACCTCATCAGACGAGATACGAAAGGACTGGGGAGCGCTGCTATCATGTAGGTAGGTACGGGCGATGGCATGTAATGAAGCAGAGTATGGTGCTTTGATTGGCAGGTACGGCAGGGACCTGATCGGCAATCTCCCATCTGCTGGGCCTTATTCAAGCAGTCGAGGAGACATCTTCTCAAAGCGCTTGAATTGCGAAATCAAATGGTCTTGGCAACGGCATAGCTCACAAAAACCTAAGCCCGCCGATGCAAGGAATGATTTTTTAGGGTACGTACTCACGGTCTTTACTGGCTTGTTAAGCTAACCAGAATTCCCATGCAGGGCGTGAAGAACGTTTTCCAGGGTACGACATCTTTTGTCCAGAAAGGCAGACAATTTCTCCCAAGAGGGAAGATCTTGATTCGACGAGCCTTCTTCCCATTTAGATTGAGTCGCCCTGTGCAACTTCTGCACGACTGCGTGAACGATTACGCAATCGGCGATCTCCTCCTTTATTGCCAGCGCACGAAGATGTGCGGTGACGGAGTCCCTCAGCTTGCCAACCGATGAATCTGCGCGTTCCAGCCGTCTATAATGTGTGCCTGTAGGATGAGACGTTTATTACTAAATCGTTTTTGAAGGATATCTAATGCAGTCGTTTAGTTGGCCTGGTTTATCTCCAACGAACTAATGGCGTTCAACGCCGCGCCGCTCAAACATGATAGCAAATGTTGCAACTTCTCGATACAAGTCAGATCAGCTTCACTATCAATCACAGTAGTGAACATTGAATATAAGCTTGACCACTCGGAATTGACTCCGCTGAGCTGCGGCAAGCGCGATCGATTGGCATTATACATGATGAATTGCGATTCACTGGGATCTATCCGAAAAGTGAAACCATGCAGAAGGGTTTTTAGCTTGAAAATCCTGCTCCTCCAATCGGTCGGGAGCGACAAAAATATTCTACTCCAATTTGTCCAACAGATCCAGAAAGCCTTTCAGATCATACTCGTCCAAGCTTCGCTACATTTCGAATTGTGAGCACAGGGCCTGAAGTTGGTCGAAGATGGCCATTGTCTTGAGGGTCAAGAATGCAATTCGGCTAGTAGCTGGATCAGCACTAGCCACCACTTCACCAACTGGAGCGCCACTCGACGGCGTGACATCCGAGGTTGACGCGTTGTTTATATTGTCGTCACTCATTATACCCGTACTCAAAAAAGAGTTAAGGTGTGTATTAGATTTGTGGTAAAAGTGTATGTGTGTAACGCAGAGAAGGAAAATTTTCCGACCCCATAAAGTATATATATTCTTGATCAGCATCAATAGCCGAGTCGATATAGCTATGTCCGTCTGTCCGTCTGTCTGTCCGTCCGTCCGTCTTGATGAGCGCCTGGATCTCAGAGACTATAAGAGCTAGAGAAACCAAATTTGGTTTCCAGACTCATGTGATATCACACTGCTACAAGTGTATTTCAAAATTTAGCACCGCCCCCTTCCGCCCACACAAAGGACGAAAATCTGTGGCAGGCACATTTTCAAAGATACGATAAAACTAAAAACGCAGGATCGTAGAGAATGCCCATATCTACCAGATTGCCGAATCTGAATTAGATCGGATCATAATTATAGCCAGAATGAAGAAATTAATTTTGTGTTGGTTCCCCCGCCCCATCCTGCAAGAAACCAACCACTCATTCTCTTTCTCGCTCACTCTCTCTCACCATGCCGCGTTCAGTGCGCGAGCAACCCCTAGCGGAGGAGATGTATAATCTAAATGGTACATGTACAATCTACATGTTAGATGTAGAATATACATAATATATGTAGATGTAGATAACAGATGTAGCAAAAAAAAGTGTTAATTCTAAAATTCTAAAAAATCATATGCTCAAAAATGTATATACTGACTGAGTACGGGTATAAGTAGAGTCGCTTCCCCAGAAGCGACTCGCACGTTCCTTCTCGTTAGATATGTAGTTATGTGTTGTTATTGAATTGCTCCATGTGTTGTTAGAGTGTATTTTTAGCTGTATACCAAAAAAGATACGTGTGTTCTGTAGAATATTACTTTTTTACAGCACAACCAATCAACAAGGTTAAAGTTAGCTGTTTTTATCCAATTAAAATAGAATCAAATGGTATTAATGGTTTCGGCCCGTTTTTTCTCCCTTTTGGGAAATGCTGCATTTTTAGATGTCAATGAGTTCCCTCATGTAGCGCTGCTTGATGTTTAGATCAACAACAAACGCAAAGCAGACGCTGTAAAAAGTTATATTTTAAAAAATATCGACGAAAACTATCTCACTGAAGGACAATCGATTGCAATTTCAAAGAGAGTGACCAATTTATTGCCTATGTCAACAACCACTTACCGAAAAACAACCGCATGTTGGAGCGATTCAAATAAAATCACAATTAATCAATCAATCAATAAAATATATTTTTTTTTAAGCTCAAGCTTTTGCTTAAGTATTTTTAAAAATAATTAATGATTTAAACCAATTTTGTATAAGGAATTTGTTGGGGAATTTCAGGCTGGGAAACCAGACCACATCTCTCCCCTTTTCCCCAATTAGAACCACCACATGCAAAAAATTCAACAGGCTAACCCTCCACAAAGCAACCAACATCAGCCTCTCCAAACTCAAAGAGAACACTACCCCACCAATAGTCTTCCACCAACTATTCCACTCCATCAAATCTCTCCCTAAACAAAACTACCTATACACAGATGGCTTACCGAGTCTTCAACAATAAAATCTGAACTGCTGCATCTTAATATGCTCCCTTATTTCTCCTTATATACATCCCAAAACATAACTCAAATGACACTTCCCACTTCCTAAAACAAATCCTTCAGTCCACACAAACCTTCCTCCCCACAAAAACTTCTACCTGGTACCAACAAATCGGCTAACTCTCCTCCTTTAACCCTATACCCCCCCATAAACGCTTCTACAAAACAGACGACATGTCCTTTCTGCCAACCCGCGACCATAGACCTACACCATATTCTATTCATCTGCCCCACCCTTTCCCCACAAAGATCATCAACATTCAATATCAATGATCCCGTGCAATGTATCGCCAACCAACCCCACCAACACAAATGCCACTATAATCCTCACATTCTTAGAAAAAGCAAATATCCTGCACTTCATATGAGTAAACAAAACTGTAAATACACCTCTGTACATACATATTCTTAATTCAACCCTACAGAGCTTAATGCCTCAGTAGCTATAGCTCCAACCATATTAATACTTAGTTTTAACTATTTATTAGAATTAATACTTAGTTTTAACTATTTATTAGAACTAAATAATAATAATAATAAAAGTAATTTTTAACTATTTCCGTGTTATTACAGGATTTCCAGAAATTTTAATAGCACTGATATTTAAAGATATAATGTGCGCTCTGATGTACATACACTCTCACCACTTCGTTCACGGATCTTTAAGGGCTAAAAATATACTATTAGATAACAATAAAGCCGTTTTATCCAATTTTCGTGACTCTCGATCTTTTATTAAACAAGGTAAAAGAGATAAAGTTTTATATGGATCAACAGTGGGAAAGAAAGAAAATTTGAACTGGACAGCTCCAGAGATATTATATCAAAATTTATATGGATACACAGAGAAGAGTGACCTATATTCGATTGGAATCACATCTTTTGAAATGGCAAATGGCTTTCAGCCATTTATGGATTCAGAACTAACTTTCATGTGCACAGAAAAAATTCGTGGAAATCTTCCTTCATTGTTAGATAAATCCAGTCAAGGTAATTATTCAGAAAAATCTGTTTGTATACTCGTACTGGAAAATTCGATACGTATGTATTTTTGTCTCAGAAGTAGCAGAAGTGAGATACTTTAACTAACCATATTCTATTTAAATTCTGTTTTGTAAATTTATTTTATAAGAAAGAGACTATATTTTATCTGCTTATCCAGGAAAAATGCGTAGCATGGAATAACTTTACAAGAAAGCTTTATTTATGGTTAGGTTAGCTCAAGGCGGTTGCTGGAGAGAGAGAAGAACATCTCCAAACTCCCTTGGACCTTTTAAAGCCCCATTCTGCGGCCGCATGGGTTAGAACCACTCCCTTTCCTAAATGAGCGTGACCATGTGGCGATGCCGATAGTCACGCGCATTTTTCACGAACGATGTATTCCAGATAACCACAAACAGATTGGAACAACCCATCATCTGTAGAAGTTCCAGGCAACTTTTTACGCAGTAAGTCAAGAAAATTAATGGCTAGCTCGTCAACGGCTTCGATGTCATCGATTTCCCTGAGTCTGGGATACCCATATTAGCACAATATCTAGCTTCTTTGCGATCTCACTAAGAGATCTGCGGCAGTCATTTACGGTAGGTGAGTTCGACCAATTTGACAAAACAGCTGTTTGGCCGTCTGAGCAGGCAACTACTCACTGGCTGTATATCGAGATTCGAACACACTGCAGTGCTCCGAGAGTCTAACACTTTGATTGAAGTTAAGCTCTGCAGAGTAGACTCCTTAGCCCATGCAGCCCTCTAACTTTGAGCCATCAGGGCTTCGATTCGGTTTTATCTAAATTAAGCATTACAAAAAATAGCTTATTGTAGTAAAACTTCCTTTACCTCAAACGTTTGCGTACTTTTTGTGCAAAGTGCGAAAACCTTTGACGTCAGTTGTAGTTCTACCAGGTGGCATCGCATTAAAATGTAAAACAGAATTAACAAACCACTTCTACACATTACTGCCATTGCATTTATGTTAAATTACCCATGTTTGGCTAAGCGCAGGCCCATGGAAGCACAAAGAGATGCAAAGCTCTAGTTCAGGGCTGCCCAGCCCATTGCTCCTCGAGCTCTTTTATTTTTGTAATTGCTCCCAGCATAGGAAACCAATTCTTGAATCCATACACAGCTTGTTCTGTGTTCACTGCATACCGAAAGCCCAACACATGCAAACTACTTTGTGCGTCCAGCAAAAACCGGTTTTATCTCTTCTCTGATTGGCGTTATGATTTTATTGTTGTCTTTTCTTCGAGTTTGCTCTGTTCCCTTATTGGTACTTGTATTTTCGTTGTGAGTATTGGTGAGTGCTGATTTTGGGCACCCCTTCTCTAGTTGTACGAAAAACAGTTAATTGTAATTAAACCAAGTTTAATGAGCAGAAAATCACAAAAACCACATACGTATCGCCTGTTTCTGAAAACGGTTCCTTTGCGCATCTGATAAGACTGCGCAATGCGCATCAGACAGCTTCTAGAGTTGCCGAGTACAATTTTTTGTTTGGCCCGCACTGTCGCTGGCGCAAACAGTTGCATCGGCAAGCGTTGAGTCCCAATGTATATCGTTTTCGAGCAAATTCAAACGTTAGTAAGTGAAACACCGTCCACACCATCCGCAAGGAAGCGAAGGATTTAGGGCCTCTAATGATCACTAAAAGCAAGCGAAGATAAAAGCATTTGTCTTGGCGTAGATGAACTGTGTATATTCGTCCAAATAGACACCAGCCAAGCCAGCAACAGCGCGCTGCAGCGTCACCTCTCTTTCGGCGTTGCAACTTCTTTGAAGAACCGTCCTTGCGAACGATTCGCTTTCGCACGTCGAAAAGAAATTTGTCAATGTTGTCGCTGGTGGTCTTGCTGCTCTTTGCGCTGCACTTGCGTCCGTAAAGTGCACACGCTGGCGGTTCTCCAAGTGAACTGCCAAATGCACGAAATTGGGGTGACGTTCATCGTTAAGGAAAAGGTTGGAACATATGGAACGATCCAGCTGTAATCGATAACGACATCTTTTGCTTTCACTTTCATCATGATTGATCTTCCGTTGTCATTTGGAGAACGACGCCGATACAATGGATATCCGTCCATTCCACTAATTGTTTCGTTCACCAACGGACGGGGACGCTTTGTGCAATTTCCGTTTTCTATACACGGTGAGTCTGGGTTGTGGACGTCGCAAGGCCCATTGATCATGTTCTTTGTCACAATGGAATGCAACTCCGGATCAGTTTCTGGATCTGGTATTTCGGCAGAGAGGATCGAATCAATATGATCTGGTCGAATCTTGTCGAACATTGAAAGCAAAATGTGTGCATGTGGTACATCGAACAACGAATTTCGCCAAAAACCTTTTCCTTAACAATGTAATTCATGAGTACTCTGATCTTTTTTTTGTATAATCGTGCAGTGATATCACCCTGACCTTCTTATTCGTTTGTTCTCCTGAAATCTGAATTTATCCTCTCCATGACAGAAATTCAATGGGTATTGAAGTGAATCATATGACCGATGATTCGACGATTTAGAACCATACCGCGTGATTCTACATTCTCCCCAACAATTACCACTGCGACTTCATTGATAGTTGGAGCATTGAATTGTCTTGCATGGCCTAGATGGTCTTTTGTCTGCTCTGATAATGATTTTTTGGTCGTCAGAATGCATTGTATCCAATGCGACTTTGAACAATCTGACCATTATGCTCATTTGGCAATTGGTGTATCATTTCACGTTTATTCGCAGTAAAAATTGCACAACGCCTATCTAGTTCTATTGTTGAATATCCAACGAAATAGATCTGAAGGAACTTATGATCTTCGTTTGGTGGTGGTAACAAAGCGCCCGCTCAATAGTGAATTTGCCCTTGAATCTAAATGAATCTAAGTCTAAAAGCCATTTCGAAAAAAATAAAAATGAGAATTGTTCATGTTGACGCCATTATCTTATAACTCGGATTGTATCCGGGTTGATCAACAACTTCGGCTCCAAATGACATCATTTGAAAGCTTCCGTTATATTTTTGCGTATTCGCCAGGAAATGTTTTGATTGAATTGTATTTCCATAGAGAAACAAATACAATGGTTCTGGCGGATAAGTCCAAACGGGCAATTTTACCTTTCCACAAGCGAAGCATTTTCCGGGGGTTTCCGATTGCAAACTTCAATGCATTGCAATGCTGGCATACGACAGACAATGAACCGATATCAACGAAGCGAAGATCTTGGTAGGCTATTGCGCTATTGCAAAAGTAGCGCGATTGAAGTCTACTGCTCGATTTTGAGGTGGTAATTGTGCAGCGCGTCTCCATTCATTTACTTCTGCACGTTCATCTTGCGTTAGATTAATAGAGATATTCCGATTTCTTATTTGACGACGTGTACGTCGTCCAAGGTTTGATCGTCTAATAGCAGGCATATTATAACTCAATTGATGAATAATATCTCGAGTTCGACTACGACAATTGCCTCTTCGCCTATTTAGCATACATTAGTCAAGCAAATAACCCAATTGATGAATAATGAACTCATCTTCAACTATGACAATAATCTCTTCGCCTACTTCCAAATGAACCAAATACAAAATCCCTCTTTTTCGCGATCGTATGTTGATTTTTCCAAAATTTTCTTCCGTAAAAAACTTTCGGTTGGCAAATACGAAAAACTGAAAAAAATGTTAACCAAATCTATTCGGTGCTGCTGACGCTATTCTCTTTCTCACTCGCACACACTCTGCCCTATGCAGTGCGAGACCTTTCGCAAAGAAGATGTAGAATCTACGTTGTAGATGTATAATCTACATTTCAGATGCAAGTTATAGCCTTTTTACACTGCCGAAACATTGTCGATGCGGAAAATGATGCGAGTCGTTTACACCAAAGCCGCATCTTTTTTCGCATCATTTTTCAGCTTTGTTTTTATTTTTTGATGCGATAAAAACAGCTGTTTGCTATCGATACCCGTCGATACCCCGAATAATTGCAGTATTTTGTAAAAATACTAGACAGAATATGACAACACTTGCTAATGAAGCGCCGCATGATTTAAGATGCGGCAGCATCATAGTCTTCTTCTATCCACAGGGCTTTTATGGGCATCATTGTCGCATGTTCCATATAACGGAAAAATCCAATGATGCGAACCAGTGTAAAAATGGTATTAGATACAGATGTAGATGACAGATCTGAATTTTACGGTAAACTTAGTTAAATGCTTTTACCGAGACTGTTGGCCATCGAATAACTACGGAGGCAACATATTAGAATATAAACCTTGCAGCGCAAGTTTCTCAGATGCGCATCGTTCAGACGATACGTATGTGGTTTTTGTGATTGTTTTCTCAAACTACTGCTAATTTAGTTCATTAAAACTACCAGTTTTTGGTATAATGATCGCCATGCTTCTATTTGTGCTGCCATTGGTCTGCACTTAGCCGAACAGGTGTTTTTGACATAAATGCAATGGCAATAATGTGTAGAAATGTTTTGTTATTTCTGTTTTGACATTTTGAAGCGATGCCACCTGGTAGAACTACAAATGACTACAAATTTTTTCACAATTTGCACAAAAAGTATGCACACGTTTGACGTAAAGGAAGTTTTACTGCAATGAGCTTTTTTTTAATTATTAATTAAAGAAAAACAGAATGCTTTCAATATATTTAGTATTAAATATATTGCTCCGAATTTGGCTTAAAAAAGGTGGCATTATTGTATTAACTTCGAAAGTCCGAATCGGAATTGTTAAGTGAAAATTCAGTCAGCGGATTGGATAGTGATTTACTTAAATGCTTATTTTATTAACTTACCATGTATAATGTTAAATTATTTGGATGCGGGTTAATCACCAATTGAACAAATTTATGGGAAGTAAGATTCGAATAGTTTTAGGTGTGTTTTATGGGTGAATTTAATGAAATCGCTGGATAAATTGTGAGCGATTTTGATTCCGCTGAAAAATCGGTGTGTGGCACCGCGGAATGGAATTGAGGTGGTTTTCCAGCGGA